CGCCAAGTTATAATATTTTAGTTTTAGAACTACTTGATCTATAATTTTAGTTGAGAAGAAGAAGAAGAATTGATTTTTTGACGTTTCTTTTTTTCGGGTTATGTTTTTTTTAAATTTAGATTATTAAAAATCAACGTTATTGTTATGTTATTTGTAATTGAGATTAGATAAGTGATTTATTAATAACGGACTCCAAAGCAGAGGCATCTTGTGGAATGGTTGTTTACATTGAAGATTGGAGCTTTTAAACAAATAAAGAAAGTACCTTATAATTATAATCATATTTTGTCGTAAATGCATTTCATTAGTATAATGCCTAGTTCTTTATATTCTTTTAGATATATCTTAAAATGTACTCTAGAGCGTAGTATCTTTGAACAGTCCAAAAGTTTTTTTTTTAATCTTACAAAAGGTTTTGATGCTCATCATCAGGGATGCGAGTTTTATAAAAACTATACACAAATATCATAAATACCATTGTTAACTTACATTTACTGTTATTTTTGGTAAATTTATTTCATTCATTTTTTTTCAGCTTTATTTTGCCACTTTTTTCTATGAAATATATTAAACTCTGCTTTAGACAGTTATTAGGTACCTATTTATTACATTTTATTAGGTTTCACACGGTGTTTCAATGTGTAAACCTATCAATAAAACTTTTAATTTCAGAATTTTCTTTAACCCCCTCTTCTTCTTCTTTCACTCAACTGACAGTGACAGTATTTGTACATAACCTCTTCTGGTATTTTCTGACATAACTGAATGAAATCATTAACAAGACAACTTGACAACAGGGTAATTTTCAACCAATAGAAATCTTAGAATGTTGGTCACATGGCGAGGTTTGTGACGTCATAAAAATTTATGTTTTTTGTAAATATCTCGAAAACGGTAAACTCAATTGAAATTCTGATTTCACAGAAATGTTTAATATTACAAAACGCCTTGAATAAAACCATAAAAAGTATAGGTCAGAAAAAATTTAACTACCCCATTAAACTGTGTATATTTCTAAAACTTAAAATTTTACAAAAATGTAAGGATTTTTTAAATCGTTGTATTTTTATTAAATTTAGGGGGATAAATTTTGAAATGTTATTTTATTGCAAAAATACTATATTTTTATTATATTTTCACAAAAAATATATTTTTTTAAAAATTGTAAAAATTATAGGGCTTCAAAGTTATAACTTACTTAGAACCATAGAACCACAGTGCCAATTTTGGACCAAGTTTTCTGGAGGCTGTATTTTAAAAACTATAAATGATAAAAGAATTGTACAAAATAAAAAAATATTGGTAATTTTAATAGCTTCAAAATGACATAATAAACATAAACATAACGTAAGAATAAGTCGACTTATTTGATGTTTTAAATATTAGAACACATTTTGTCGAACAAAAAAATATAAAAACAGCATTGAAGTCGAAGTAAAAGTTAAGTAGGCCGTTGAAAAACAAAACGCCAAGCCAACCGGGATTATATGGGAATTCATGGCCTCGGCCGTTTTTTGAGCTGACCGAAAGCCGTAAAGAAGTCAGGGAGGGCCGTAAAACGAGCGAGCGGGTCCTTTTTCACATATATAAATATTATTTTTAATATGAATTTTACGGCTTTATAAATTTTTTATATTTTCAGGTGTTAAGATTTTTGTATCTACGATATTTTATAGGCCACGTCGGCCGATCTTTGAATGGATTTCGAAATATAAACGTCAAGTTTTATCGCTGCCTCACAAGCACTTTTTCATATTTCATGTGCCATAACTAAAGGATGCAAGTTTTTATGCCTCGCATCAACGTCGTTTGTTACAAAATACGCTACAAATCAATAATTTTAATATTTTATTAATGCAACATTAAAAACTCTTTCAAATGACGTGTCAATAGCCAAAATTGGACCGAAAATAACGACAATATTGATGGTTTATTTTACCATATACAGGGTGTTATGTAATTAATGTTATATATTAAAATACTGAATACCTTTTGACATAAGGAATAAAGGAAAAATATTAAAAAAAACATTTTTCCAAAGATAAAGAAAAAATATGCATTAGAAGTTTTTTATATGTTTGTGATACGCCACTGGTTACACACTTGTTTATCTCTGCACACCTGTATTTTGTGAGTACATAGATACCAACCAACAAAGTAGCTATGCGTTGCCAGATGTAAAAAATTGTTACTAAAAATTTTTCTTGAAAAAATTAAATAAAAAGCTCTAATACCCTTCTGTATTTATTTACTGATCCAGCTATTAGCTTAAGCAATGATTAGAAAATTTAGTACCTTTGAAATTTGAAATCCATAACCACAAAATTAATTTTTTCATCAGTTTTTTTCTCTGTTTACTCAGATGAAATTGGGACCAGTTCACAGGTTAAACTTTAAACATTTAATTTGTGTAAATAAATCCAAAAGCACTTCCCTTAGTTAAGATATTTACAATTTGAAAACATAACCTAAAATTTAAAAGAAATGCACTAGATTCTGTCATAAAAGTTGGCAGATTTTGTTTGAATTTACCTTCATTACAAAAATGAAATAACCAACAATTAATAAAAACGCCAAATTGACAATATGCATTGTTAATTTTGTCATTTTTGTAATTAAGCTAAATTTAAACAATGTTTGTCATTTTTTTTTGAGACATATTGGAAATACTGTTGTTACCAACCACATATGTTATAACATAATAAATCCACCAGATTAACCTAAAGTTCCTAGTCGATCAGTGGCGTACTTTTTGGTAGGATAAAGGTTATTATAAATTATTTTTAGACTTTGGAATTTAGAAAAAAAAAGTTTCAGGTGCTTCTTTATGGACCCTAAGGAACAACCCATTTTAATATATAACATTAATTACATAACACCCTGTATGTATACATTTTTTGTACGGGTTTACAAAAATATTAATTACACATAAATGTAGTAATAATTTAAAACTATTATATTGTTTTTTTTTTAACTAATTGACTAAGTAATTTGTAATTATAACAAACAACAGGGAAAAATTTGTTGGATTCGGTTTCATAATTTTATGAATTTGTTCAACAAACATAAATAATTTAAATAGCTTTAATCTTACTTTAGAAACTACTGCTAGTGTATCATTTTTAGGCGTGGAAATCAATAATAGACTTGATTGGAAAAGTCATATAGATAAATTGGCGAAAAATAGTCAAAGTAGGTACTGCTATTTATTAAAAATTTAATGCATATATATAATCTAGTGTTAGATATGGCATTATATTTTGGATTCATTCTCCATATACAGATAGGATATTTATTTTGCAAAAAAAATGCATAAGAAGAATTTTTAGCGTAAAACAAACTACATCATGTAGACCTTACTTTAACATTATAAGCTTTTAACTATTTAGTCTTTTTATTTTTAAGGCGGTATAAGTATATAAAAAAGGGCATTGTTATAAAACGAGATTTAGATAAAATTATTCAGTTAGTAAACTAAATGTTACTTATATTTTTTGTAATGTTGTGTTTAGTAGTGTATGAAACACATTTATTTATTTATTTATTATTTGTATTTCTCTTTTAAATTGTATTATTAATTTTTAAATTATGTTATGTACTTATCTATGTATATTTGACGTGTTTTTATACCTTCTGGTATTTTTAAACAAATAAAGATTATTATTATTATTAAAAAGGTGACAGGAACAATGTGTGCTAAATTGTAGCAAATAATTGTAGTAAACTTATTATATTAAAAACATACTCGTACATAATTTATTTGACATTTTAACATATTTTAATATAATCGGCTAAAATAATTTGTGTAAGTAAATGAGTATTTTAGAGACTTTTTTAATATTTTTTTGGAATGCGAGGGTGGTAAAAAGGAAAATGAAACTAAATTATTAATTTAGATATCTATTTATTCAGCAACTTAAACAAAAAATATGCAAAATAAAATACCTAAACTTAATATACCGACACTGTCAACATAAAATAAATATAACAAAACATGAACTACAAACTGAAAAATAAAATTCGTATAGCTAATTCTAATAATATTGAGATACAATTCAACATGAAGTGCGTCTCCACTTATAATAGCACAAATGTCGATAGATTAAATATGCATTCAGCGACCAACACAAAAATTCTGTAAGGATAGAATTAATATTAACTGAAAACACAGTAGGAACATATAAACACTTTTATCCTCATTTGATCACCAGGTCATAATTATTGATTTATCCCAGTCCCTGAACAATTTTGCAAATACCTACCTACCTATTCGGAAAAATAATATTCGATAATTACTCACCAGAAATGTGGTACTAACCTCACAATGATACACTTCCTAACACTAACTAAAACTGCAAACTGATGCAGATTGCAGTTCAGCGACCGGCCAGCGTCTTATTTCAAGCGGGAAATCATTTCATTGGTTATCTTAGGTGGTGTGATGCTTTACACCCGAACAAATTGTAAAATATTGTACAATTTATATTTTAAATCAAAGTTATACTATATTTATACGAATTATTTAAAAAATTGTACAATATATTTTTTAAATATTTTTAACATCAGAATTCAACTATTTTTCTAAGAGAGTTGTGACTTTGAACCATTAAAAAAACGGCATTGTTCTTTAGAAATATTTAAAAAATATAATATTTTCACAATAAAATGACATATTAAAATCTACAATATCATCCAAATTAGTAAATTTACAACGATTTTAATTAACCCCTACAAAAATGACAATACAGGATGTATAAATCAAAAAATCATCATTTTTCAAATCTGCCACGGCACTCCAAACTTTTTATTAATTAATCCGACCCATTTTAGTTTTAATTGTGGGTTCCAATGTTTCTAGAGGTTGATATATTAAAACTAGCCTTAAGGGTTTTTTAATTATGGTGGTCCGATCATTAGTAGAAACGTAGCAATTTTAAAGTTAGAAGGAATTTCACATGTTAACGTCTCATATCTAACGTGATTTATCTTTTTCGTTACAGGTGTGGTTTCAAAACAAAAGGTCGAAAGAGAGGCGATTGAAACAGCTGACTTCGATGGGCCGAGGACCATTCTTCGGCGGGTCGAGAAAAATGCGGGGTTTCGCCATGAATTTATCACCTGGCATGGAAGAGGGACCAGGTTTTCCGTACTTTGCTGCCGATGGTAAATTCGAGTTCGGTTACGGAGGCCCACCGTTCCACCCACACGACGGCCCATTTTTCCCCGGACATCCAGGAGGCGGACCGGGGGGACCCATGCCTTTTGGACAAGGAGGTATGTACCATATGTCATATTTTGCCCTTAGATATAACCCCAAAAATACCACAAACTACCTAATTGTCATAATTCTTTAAAAATGTCAAATTTATATCCAGTCAATGATGATGATATTCTTAAACCATGTAGATCTGATCTTAAGTATTTATCTACAAAACAAACTTTGTAATTTTGTTGTATACAACCAGAGCTTAGACCAGGGTCGATAATTTTTGAAACCAAAAAAAATAACAGTAGGATGAAACCCATTGGAAAAGGAGAAGAATATAATAAAAATGAAAGGAAAAATAAATTACGGGCGATCTGACTTCGGGAAGTGGGAGGGGGGGTTTTAAGGGTAAAAAATGGTTTATCTCGATTTCCGGCAAAACTACAAGTCCTATGGAAAAAAGTTAAATGGCAAAGTTGTAGGTAATAAAAGGATCTACAACTTTTGTAATTACAATTTTTTTACATAACCTCAAAATTTATGTGAAAAATTCAAAAAACCAAGTTTTTGGTTTTTTATTTTTATCTTTTTCAAAAAAAAATTTTTTTCCACGAAATTTGGTGAAAACTTTTTGAAAAAAGCTGATATTTTGACGCGAGAATTTTCGATTGAAAATTAGGGTGCTTTTTTGATATTAAGTCAAAATAAGGCGAAATAATAAATATTTCAAATCAAATAAATTACAGTGTATTTGGGACATAAAAAGGTAAGTTTTCACCAAATTTCGTGGAAAAAAATTTTTTTTTGAAAAAGAAAAATAAAAAACCAAAAACTTGGTTTTTGAATTTTTCACATAAATTTTGAGGTTATGTAAAAAAATTGTAAATACAAAAGAAGAACTTTTTATTACCTACAACTTTGACATTTAACTTTTTTCCATAGGACTTGTAATTTTGCCGGAAATCGAGATAAACGATTTTTTACCCTTAAAACCCCCCCCTCCCACTTCCCGAAGTCAGATCGCCCGTAATTTATTTTTCCTTTCATTTTTATTATATTCTTCTCCTTTTCCAATGGGTTTCATCCTACTGTTATTTTTTTTGGTTTTAAAAATTATCGACCCTGGTCTAAAAACAATTTGATAGCTTTTGAAAGCCGTGTATGACATGTCCAAGTATGGGATGATTCAACAAAACTGTCAGGGTCATTCCCCATAGCATATGGATGGACCATAGCAATCTTAGTTCTTCATACAGAAAAATATTGGAAATTGCAATGTTTTTTAAAAAATCCATATTTTCCACAAAAATAAATATATCGAGGTGAACCAAAAACAACACTGTTAAGAATAGATGTGACTTGATAAATAAAAGTGTCTTAAACTTATGGTAAAAAACATCTTTTTGTTTAAACCTGTATATTATAAACGTACGTCTATTTTTTAGTAATTTTTTAAAATGTGAGCGATTGTCCATTAATTTATCTGCAATATTCTTTAATATTCGTTTAAATCCGACATCAAATAAAAAAGTTATTTTCGAATGAATTTCATCGAAAATTTGAGTGGATCGAATATTTTGCCTGTGAGTGTATAAACTTGTTATAAAACCTATAGGCTATAATATGTATATTGTGTCCGTTTTAAATTTAATATATAGTATAATATAATATACTTCCAAACAAAATGTTTTGATGCTTACTCGTGAATTCCACGAGTATTTTTTACGAGTACATTGAATTTGGTTTATAAGTACTCGTACTTTTTTACTCGTAATTGAGAAACAGGGTTTTAAAGTATATTATTATTCTTTTTAGACTAGACAGTTTGGAATATTGAGTGTAACTTTTGAAATTTTAAAAAATGATTTTTTAAAAGTTATTTAATAGTTTATTTCAAATTTTGCGGTGACATTACGAACTTAAAAAAATAAATACGTAACCCCCCTAACGTGGCCAACTTTTTTTTTTAAAGGTCGATGTGAAGCCTCAAAAAAAACTATAACAAAAAACTTTTATAATACAAATATATATTTTTAACGTTTAACGCTCAGCCACCTCATATCATTCCTATATCGGTTCAATTTCTGGGGTTGCAATTAAAAAAAAAGTTGGCTTCCTTGGGGGGCTACGTATTTATTTTTTTAAGTTGGCAATATCACCGTAAAATTTTAAATGAACTACCAAACAACTTTTATAAAAATCATTTTTTAATATTTTCGATATTTCAAAAGTTACACTCAATATTCCAAACTTTTGAGCCACCCTGTATAAACATACTATGTTATTTTATTACTAAAACACAATTAAATTTTTTTTTACAAAATATTAAATTTTAAAATACTTAAAAGATAGTCAGCGTTTACTTTAGCACTACAGTGCTAACTTTAGATAAATATCCCACACCCTGTATCACCGAAAATATAAATCCTACAAATTATATTCGAAATAAGAAAATACCCTCCAATAAATAAACAAAAACATTAAACAATAAAAATTAAAATCCCCACATTAATAACCTCATTATTTACCATATTAACCCACCCCAACAAAAACTAAATTCATTTTTTCATTTCAGGCGGACCTATGGACCACCCAATGCCGATGGGGGGAGACTTCGGGGGCATACCGGGAGAACAAGGTCAATTCATGCCCCAGCAGCCCGGACCCGATCAGATGATGCCGGGGGGGCGAGGGGGCAGTCCCGAATTCATGTCGGGGGGGAACTTCTCCGACAACCCCCAACAAATGAACGAGGGGTTGGTTTGGTAGCTAGCAAAAGCTCTGGCCAAACGGGCTAGAGAATAACACCCTGTATATATGTATAAGTGATATATAGAGATATAAATATATGTATATGGGAAGATATGTAATAATTTAAACATATCTCTACATGGGGTGGACACCCTGTATATTCTGGTTGTGACCAATCTGCACGTATACAGGGTGTTTGTTTAATGGCAAAATAAACACCCTGTATATTTTCTCTCCAAAATGTTTTTCACAAAATTAGATACTATGCTGTTTTTAGTATGTATATATATATAATGTGCAATTTTTACTATATATTATTGTACATATTAAGGCTTACACACTGTATATATAAACCTAGGTAAACCTATTTTATTTATATTTATGTTATTATTATGTTATTTTTAATATTTGTTTTGCTTGAAAAAGTGCCAACTTTTTGTTTATCATATTGTACTATTTATGAATGTAAAAATTATTCCATAAGGATTTGTAAATAAACCACAAAAATTAACATTATGTATGTTATGTTTAAAACTATATAGTTGAATAGCTCGCGTACAAAAAATAACAAAATATTTGTACATACAACATAAAATTTGCTGTATAAAAATGCCATCCGATTTATTATTAGTGTATATTGTTAAATTTAGGTGTCTTAAATATAATAATAATAAACTATTCTATAAAAAAACACTGAAGTTTTAATAAATAATACCCGTCATTTACAGAAAAAAACAACAAGGTTTGTATGTTTAGATGAAAAATAACGCTGTTATTTGAAAAAACGAGTTTTAACATAGATGCCCAATAAATATTTTTATTTTTATAGTGGTTTCCATAAATGTTATATCATCCAAATTATAAAACATAAATTTCTTAATTTGGTTTCATAAATATTTATATCACTCTTATATACCCCTTAAAGAACTTATTTAAGGAGTTTATGAAGGTTATCGGTACCTATTTTAGTAACACTATAAAACCCAAGTTTTATAACTAGAGATAACAGAAATATTATTTCCTTCTCCCTCAGGCACATTTAAAATATATATTTTTTCATAGGTACGCTATCTTTCTTATTATTCTTATTATTCATTAACTTGTTTAAACCACGTGAATATTTTAAGAAGCCAAGTATGGCAAAAATATTAATGGAATATAATTTAAATCTAAGATTTTTTACTCAATACGACTTAAAGTTCAAAGTAATTTTTAAATACCAACAAATAAATATTTTTTTTTTCTATTAAAAATATATGAAAATATTTTTTTAAATACATTAATATCTTTCTTTTGCTTACATAAAAGTAGTGAATTTTGGTTATAAACCTACTGGTAACGGTTACTAAAGGTTATATAAAATGTTTGTAGAAACAATTATATAACCTAATTATATAATTAGAGTTTACAGTAACCTTATACGACCATTATAAAACTAGTAAAATAAATGGCGATTTTATAAAAATTGTTTAACTTTATATAATTTGGGTCATGTTATTTTGCCTATATCTAAGTTATTTTTCATTTAAACTATAGATTAATAATAATTATTATATTCTAAACATGTTTTATACATATGGCGAGTGCGAAAAAGTTTTAGAAAGAAGACCTAAAGATACTTAAAAACTGTTAAAAATAAAAAAAATCAAATTTTAGTCCTTCCTGAATTTTACGTAGAATTTAAAAATGCAATAATATTTATGGTTCCTTTTAAAAAACCAAAGTTAATTTCACTTCCGGTTTAACCGGAAGTGATTACGCATGAAAATTAATTTAAAAAAATAGTTTACATTGCCTTATAATTACTATACAAATTTTAAATCGATAACTTTTTCCGTTCTCCATAAACTTCTAATGAATAAGTTAGGTGAATCACCCTGTATATAAATAAAAATTTATTTTATTTGATTGAGGATTAAATTTGCTTTAAAATGATATAAAGCACCCTAAATTTTGCGTAAAAACAAAGTAAAATACGTTATTTCTACAAGTAGGCCATGGAAATGTAATTTTTCTCTATAACTGTCTTATTTTTGTATTAAAGTAGTCGATGTTGGTACTCATTTTGCAGGGTTTTTAATTTTCTACAACGTTAACCACAAACATTCTTGGAATTGTTAAATTTTAACTCGAATATAAAAAAATACACTTTTTTATGTAAAATCAGCGCGTGCCATGGCAGTGTCATCGCGCGCATAGATTCCGATCGTTCGCGTGATCGTCGGCGACCTTTGCGTGACGTGCTCATTCCAAACAAAACACTGTCAGACCATAGCCTACCATTAAATAGGGGTCTTCCAAATGCGGTTTACGGAATGAAACTATAATAAGGACAGGTGTCTGTTTATTTTTGACGTGCGCGATAACGCGAGGGCTGGGATTCGTGTAAAGTTTGATATGGTGTTGTAGATTGAACGATTTTCGGCGAAATTGATTCCAAGAATTTTTCTGTGACAAAAAATCGATTTCGATATGTCAAAGGGACACTTAAATTCCTCCAACTCCGTTATTTTTTATAAATATTAATTGAATAAAAAATAAATTAAAGTCTAATAAACAGTCTTTAAATCAATGTAATCAAAATTAATTTAACTTGTCATATTTATAGTTCGAAGTTGACATTATAACAAACAAGTAGTTTTGGTAAGGGGTTATCTTAAATCGTGGATATCTCAAAAAATATCAATTGTTACAAAAAATTTGTTGATTTCGTATTTTTAAATTTTTGAATGGTGTAAAAAACAAATTTTGTAATTTTTTTATAAATAATATGGTTTTCGAGATACAGCCTGTTAAAGTTTGTGATTGCTTTTAGACCTTTCCTCGTAAAAATAATTTTAAAATTATTGCATGTTTCGTAATTTTTGTAGGATTTTGAAATATTGAAATTTTCAAAATATTTTTACAAAACATGTTAACAATGTTACTTGGTCCCTGGTTTACAAATTAATAAAATGCAATAAAAAATATTATGTTTTTAAGTTTAGCAGGCCAAATTAGAAAATAGTAGTATGTACATTTTGTCATTTTTTTAAATTTGGACTCGTGTTTTTTTATTAAGTTGGTAGCTTATGCCAGTTTGATTTAGTATTTTTAGTATTTAAAAAATGGTACTTCTGCTGAAGACCTTACACTTAGACCTTATAGGTCTATAGACCTTAGACCCTACCTGACTTTGTCAAATTGACAGTAATATTTATTATTGATAAGTAACTTGTTAATTATTATTATTATTATATATTATATCGATATAAAAAGATAACTATGCCAAAAGCGTCAATCCAAATGAAAACACCAAAAATGAATTTAAAAGTGCGCTGCATGATTTTTTATTTTAATGAAAAAATTTGAGGATGATCTTTTAGGTATCATATATGAAAAACCGTTGCCGTTTTAATTTTTAGTTGCTTTATTTTTAATCGGCACCCTTTAGAAACCTGAAATCGTTTTATTTTCTTACTTTCTTATAAGAGGCTAAAACTTTTTTTCTGTGGCAATTATTGAAATGATTGTAATTTTATTTTACTGCCTAGTAAGTATGTTTTCAATATTAATTATTATTATCTAATTAGTTCATCTCATAAAAGAACCACTAAAGATTTGTAATAATTTGCCAATTTTTGTGATTTTTGTCTGGCTCCTGTGCCAATTCTGCTAAATCTAGAAAGTTGCTTTTTTTCAGATATCAAGTACTTATATAATAGAAAACGTAACTATTATTTTAAGTTTCTAGACTATCATTTTCTTTATTAAAAAATTATTGAAACTTGATAATTTTCAAAATTAGCCAATTTTGCCCTCAGAAATCATTATGTTGAGGAAAAAATAAAAATCTGAAACTTTCAGGAAATGTAGTCCCCACCTTCATATTTTCAGTCTAGTTAGTCTTGTTTTGTTATTTTTATCCATGTAAAAGATATAATAATTTTTTAATGCAGTTAAGAAGCGATATTGTTAGTTTTATTTATAATTTAAAATTTAGATGGCTTTGACTTAGTCAATTCATGTTTGGTAGAGAAATTTCAGAACTGTCAAAAATATTTCATAAATATTATTTGTGCGTTAAATTGTGATTTCAAAAAGTTTGTAAGTTTGCAAGTGTAATAAATGACGGAGTGTTCGAGATTCATGAATTTAATTGCAATTAAAAATGCAAGTAAGTACATATCATAATTTAGTACCTCTTTCTCATAGAAAATATTCAAGTTCTGAGAAGTTTTAAATTGTTATAAATAAGCAAAAACCAAAATTAAGAGGTCAGTACCTACCTACAAACCTTCATATAATCTTTTTAAATATTGGCGTCAAGAAACTATTAAATACTTTTCTATTTTTGTATTGAGATATGAAATAATATTCATAACGATTTTATGACTAACATTAGCTCGTGACTAAAAACTTGTTGCTAACTTCAGCCCGTGACTAAAACGCCATAAGACCACAACCTGTCAATGTGTATTTAAAGGTCACTTAGTGTCATGGAAACATGTACGCTTTAAAGGTAGGAGTAGAAAAAAAATGTATACTACTGGGAACGCACAATTTGTTCAAAACGTTATCTCGCATAATCTCGTACATAATTTCATTTTGTACAACAATAATTCCAATTTGGTTCCATCAAAGAGATACAAATCAAACTTTTACTTTTATAATTGCCTTTAAACATGTAAACACGAATGTTGTGTCATTTTTTTAACGTAAATTTTGTGCAGGTGTTGCTACCCATTTCAGAAAGATGTCATTCAAGTATGTCTTTATTAATTACCTAGCTCGCAATAAAAAAATAAGAGCGTCACGAAGGTTTTTTTTTAATTGCAAAGACAAATAAGTCTGTTTGTTTTGTAATTGAGCTGTTTTTATTCAATTATGTTGGGCTTTTTTTTATCTGGAATGATCTTTTGTTTACCTCAATTTCGTGATTATCGGGATGAAAAAATATGTTTCACGAAAAGTTTTATTTGTTTTGGTAATGTTGGGTTAATGAATAAAGTAAATTTTGTATGACTTCTGGGAAAATGTCGGATAATAAAACAAAACAAAAAAAATTAATAATAACAGTTTTTAAAAAAATATGATTTTATAAAAATATTTTAAAAACATAGAATTTCTTAATTAAAACAACATAAACCATACGAAACAATTTATTAGGATTTTTTTTAGTTTGAAAACAAGGTCACGAAAACCACGGTGTATAAAAGAGAAGCGTAGCAAAATGATACCGCAACACCTAACCAGTAATTTTTAGATAATCACGGAACAGAAACCAAATTGCCCATACGTGTCAAACCTTAGGCCACAAAACACCCAGATAGGTACACAGTAAACAACATAAAATGTCCCATGTATGTACTATGCTCCACACCTCAAAGTCCCACCATGTGACCACGTACGGAACGCAGTCTTTTGAAAATTTTGCATTTAAGGCTTTTCAGGTTATGTATCTGTCAAAGTATAGTCGACGAAAGAAACGTTAAAAATGTTTAAATATTAAAATAACAATGGATGGTTTAAGAATTTAAGAATATAAATACTGCATTTAATAAAATTCTAAAGTGTATGGTGCCAAATAAGTAATATTTTTGTGCATTGGGTCCAAGTATCTGGTTTTTTCCATAAAATAATTTTAACTAAACAGCATTTATTAAAAAAAAATCTAGCTTCTCTATTATGG